GGCTGAAAGAAGACATTTTTATCAGGGTCAGTCACAAATAAAAGAAAATGATCAACTTGCAATAAGAAAATGTAAGGATTCTGATTGGTTTATATGGCTAATCTTGCTCTCATTGGCTGGCCCTAATGCATTCCAAAGACAATGGGTTTGATTTACTAAAGCACCAGGGGCTATTCACTAAGCAAATGAAGAAGTGAATCCTAGTATATAGGTTTCGCTTTGAAGTCCCAATCATGTTCAATGGAAATTAAAAGCACAGGATATGTAGTAGCACAGGATTGGTAGATTGAAGTGCGCACACCTTAACTTTATTTACTAAGATCAGTAAACATGCACTGTGCTAAGTGAATGAGCCCCTAAGTACACTAATTCTGATGGCACTGGGTGCATGTGGGAAGCAGGTGCACTGAACTCTGTGCTGCAGCCTGGAAGAAGTAGCCACATTCCCCAGTTCATATTTATCACCCGGCTTCACTTCACATTTCAGGCGTAATTACCGGCTGAGATCAGTTTTGTGATGATTAGAAACACATCTTCCCTAAACAGGAATTATCATAAAAGTTTCACTTTATTTAATAGTTTGCTGTTGGCCATTATAAGGCCGCCTGTTTACCTTGGAAGGGAGCCATCCATTGCAATATATAAAGACTGGGGTTATGGCTGCAAGATACAAGTCTGACTGTTTATTTTCAGTACCGAAAGGAATGATGTATTCCCAGGGGAGGCCCTGATGTTACGATAGGGAAAATGTATGTATGCGTGTTGGCTGAAAACCTGTGAAAGCAAAACCCTATCGCCGTACAAAAAAAACAAAAAAATTAAATAATAAAATGAAGAAGAAAAAAAAAAATGCTGTGGACGATGGTGCCATAGCATCCGCATTCCAGCTGGGGGAATAGGCTGGACGAGGAGCTGCAGGGAAGGGGGCTGATTCCACCCAAGTCAAGAGCAGGAAGGCTCCGCTCCGTCTGATGTGACGTCATCGTGTCTATAGGCTCCCTGCACAGATACAGCCAGCACACATGGGGGAGGGATTTGGCTCTAATCACTCCCAGATGTCACAAATAGCACATGTAAGAACTTATAGATTGCCCACGGATGAATCTCCTTCTTTTTATAGTAATCAGAACTACACGACCTGCTCATCAAAGCGAAATAAGCCCTTGGAAATACTGTGGGGGAGTGGGGGATATTTCATAATACGTAAAAACATATGATGCAGAACAGGGGGGAGATGCCAGAATGAATTTATTGATATCTCTGTTAAGTCACCGTTTATGCAAAGCTGCTAAATGATGTGTGTGTGCCTGCTGTACACTCCTGAATGTAGTATGTACTAAAATGGTACAACGTGCCAGCATCCTCTGTAACCCACTGCACATCCAGTGACTTTATGTAGTATTAATGTATTAAACAGTGAAGTGTAGTCACCATGGAATTCAGTGGCAGGTCTGCTGTATACTCCTGAATGTACTAAAATGGTACAACAGCATCTTCTGTAACCCAGAGCAACACGCTGCACATCCAGTGACTTTATGTAGTAGTAATGTATTCAACAGTAGTGTGTAGTCACCATGTAATTCAATTGCAGGTCCACTGTATACTCCTGAATGTACTAAAATGGTACAACATGCCAGCATCTTCTGTAACCCAGAGCAACACACTGCACATCCAGTGACTTTATGTAGTAGTAATGTATTCAACAGTAGTGTGTAGTCACCATGTAATTCAATTGCAGGTCCACTGTATACTCCTGAATGTACTAAAATGGTACAACATGCCAGCATCTTCTGTAACCCAGAACAACACACTGCACATGCAGTTACTTTATGTAATAATAGTGCATTAAACAGTGGAGTGTAGTCACCATGGAATTCAATTGCAGGCCTGCTGTACACTCCTGAATGTAGTATGTACTAAAATGGTACAACATGGCCGGAATCTTCTGTAACCCAGAACAACACACTGCACATGCAGTGACTTTATGTAATAATAGTGCATTAAACAGTGGAGTGTAGTCACCATGGAATTCAATTGCAGGCCTGCTGTACACTCCTGAATTTAGTATGTACTAAAATGGTACAACGTGCCAGCATCTTCAGTAACTCAGAGCAACTTGCTGCACATCAGTGACTTTATGTAATAATAGTGTATTAAATAGTGGAGTGTAGTCACCATGGAATTATATTGCAGGTCTGCTGTACACTCCTGAATGTACTAAAATGGTTCCAGCATCTTCTGTAACCCGCTGCACATCCAGTGACTTTATATAATAAAAGTGCATTAAACAGTGGAGTGTAATCACCATGGAATTCAACCGTAGGTCTGTTGTACACTGCTGAATTTATACTAAAATGGTTACCGGCAACCTCTGTAACCCAGAGCAACTCACTGCACATCCAGTGACTTTATATGATAGCAAAAAAAAATAAAAATGGGTCTTATATATTAAAGAAGAGAGTTTATAATTGATTGTGCTGACTGCATCAGGTTCTCATCAAATTACTATTTAATCCAGCCCCCCAACACACACACACTCCACCAAACTGGTGATGAAAACTTGAGAGTCTGCAGTGCAAAGGGTTAATTCACTCATTTAGTAAAGCCTCCTTCTCACAATGCAAGGAGAAGTTATTTGGACAGATTTAACCTTAGTAATCCACACAGGAGGTGTAGTGGGGGATCTATAGAGGACAACTTTCTACCATTTCCCTGTTAAGCTTCATCCTCTTAAAGCATCCAACCACTTGCCTGACGTATAACACAGGCTGGCACATTTAGTCCTTCTCTGGGTTTACATCACTGGAATGATTAATAACATTGAACAGGGCCATAGTATAAATTAACCCAAGCAACCAATCCAAACCTATCTTTCCTATATTCTGAGTGTGCAGATAAATGAGAGATGATCTCTGATTGGCTCTTAATACTTCCTGCACAGCAGTACTCTGAGCTCATATGTATTGATTGTTATCTGTATCATGTATTCAGATGCACTTCATATGATGTATATAAACTGGAGAAGCACAGCAATGGAAGTCATAGACTGCTCATAAATCGTCATATAATTCCTTCCATCTTCATCATGAGACTCTATCATACTCACTCTTCCCCTATCATGTCAAATGTGCACTTATTTAAATATTTCATCTATTTGTCCCAGCTATATTTTCTTAACATTTCAAGCAATTATATTCGAGTGTTTTCTTTTTTTTTTTTCTTTTAGCCCTCAGGACACAAAAGGCTTCACCTATGTACCTCTTCAATAGGGCACACTCATTAGGGCTATCTCTGACCCTATCTTGACAATAATAACAAATTAACAATAATTATCCTCTCGAGGGGGCATCGGGCCAATCTGAAATATGTACAGACCGGTTTTATCCCCTCGTTTCTTCAAGTACAGCCTGAAAATATTCGCACAGAGCCGTGTGACAGGACAGCTTATTACAAGACAAATACAAGAGAGAGCAGCCTGCTCACTCCTCCAAATGGTTCCCAGTGACCCTACTGCTATCAGCAGCCTGCTAACTGGCCCTCATAACACTGGCTCTGTTTAGGCAAGCTGATAAAGGGCCTTATCGGTCCTGGACAAACCGATGAAATCATGCCTTCCTAGGGAGCCTTCTGTCACCTTAGGAAATCGCTTTATTTTGTCTCTCTCTGTGCAACTCATATGCTTAGGCACAAACATACTCATGGGAGCCCCAGTATCTGCTCTGCTAATCCTCTCCCACCACTGCCCTGCACTGCAATGACACCACAAAAGGTTACCCTCTGCCTGGGCTGCCTGATGATTTCCCTGGAAAGGTTTTATTACAGTGATTGCAAAATTATCACACACAGCCACTAGATTTATAAATGCAACAGTATACAGGAATTAGATATCCATGTCAATGAAAGACAATTATTCAATTAATTCTATTTCATCTGACCAACATATTTATATATATAAATAGAGGGGGGGAGAGAGAGAGAGAGAGAGAGAGAGAGAGAGAGAGAGAGATGTTTGTGTGTGTGTATTGTATGTATATATATAGAGATCTCTCTCTCTCTCTCTCTCTCTCTCTCTCTCTCTCTCTCTCTCTCTCTCTATATATATATATACATTGAGGGGGATTTATCAAAACTGGAGCAGACAAAAACTAGGGCAGCTGTGCATGGCAACCAATCAGATTCTCTCTTCAGTTTGTTCAGTCAAGATTTTAAAATAAAGAAGATAAGCTGCTTTGTTGCCATGCACAGCTGCTCAATTTTTTTGAATGTTAGACGGTATTACTTATAAGGACTAAACATAAGACATATTAAACAACCAGGGGTTTATCAAAAGGAAAAGGTTTAAAAGGATTTTGTTTTCCTATTTTTTTTAGGGTATACTTGAAACTTCTATAGGTTGATTGTGCTAATGCCTCTTTTTCTGACCTATATGGGTTGATTTACTGAAGAAGTTGAGAATATTCACAAAATAAATTGTGTGAATATTGACTTCAATTACCCAGTCATGAGCAGATGAAATAAGTAAACAGAAATTTGCTTTATGCATGATTGGATCATTTTAACTCCTTTAGTAAATCAGCTTAATTCTAATGTGTTTAGATAGACATGTGCACAACATCAATAATGTAAAATATCACTAATGCTATGAATAATAATAATAATAAGTTTCACCCTGTGTATAAGGGCAATAATAAACATAACATATACAAAAAGACACTCAGTGGTTTATTGATCACTTACAACGATTTACACCTTCAAATATGAATTAACCTCCACAATTCTGGACAGAAGTGCACAACAAAACAAGTAGATGAAACACCTTCAAATGCTGAACAAGACAACAAATAAAACGACAACGTTACTACGGGCGCCTGTCCCCTGCCTGAGAGATCCGCTGCCCTGGCACTGCGCTGCAGTCAGGATGGCAGACCTCACTGGCACGGAGACTGCCCCTATACCGAGAGGAAGCACTGGGGCAGCGGTTCCTGTCAGTATATTATTTTTATAATATTAATATCCCATAGATCAAGTACACTTCACATACATACGAATGCCAGGAAGCCGGGGTGTCCTCGTACTGTGTTGTGTTTTCTGTACAAAACAGAGAAATACTGCAACAATCACAGGAGCCAGGGCCCCTGCTATCAACCTGTAGATTCTTCTTCATATAATGGAATGCTTCTCTGCAGAAATCCACAATGTGGGTGCTTTTTTTGGGGGGGAAGGGGGGATTGCACATAAATTAACAGGAGTTTATTTTTCAGAAAGTATCTTTGATATAAGTCTTCCCTTCTGCAGTTCGGATGCTCATTGTTTAAGTTCCAGAGCCCATACATGCTGGGGCCAGCCAGTCCTCCCTTTCGTTTTCTTATCGTTACTGCTAACTGTGTTTTTCAAGAGTTCATTCTGTGAGCAGACGAGAAAACAGAGAAAAGCCATAGATTTAGAAACAAGGCAATTAGTACAAAAATAGCCCTACAGAGTTATCATAGAACACGAATGATCTAGCTGGGGCCTGGTACACAAGAACTGACATGTCCCCACTCGCTTTCACTATCACTTTGTAACAAACCCTTCTAATCTCCTTTTAAAATAAGAATTGTGTCATTTCACATATATCTGAGAACCCCATAATATTCTATACAATGTTAAAGATACATTTCTACAAATAGAAAAACAAATAACAAACCATGTAGCTAGTTATTCATTTCATTCAGTACACAGATATGTACTACATTCTTATTATACGTTTCTATTGTCCTTGCAGGTACACGGGATTTGTAGGTAGCTACTGTAAGAAAATACATTTTTTTATTTTTAAAAATGTTAGGCTTACAAATAAGCCGATGTGTAAATATTTTTGTAAGGTTAGATGGAACTGGAGATTTGTTTAAAGAAAATCATTTTTTTACATTGCAGAAATGTCGACAAAGAAAATGTATTTCTGCATGATGGATGATAATTGCAATCTACACTAAACACTAGATACAACAATAAATATATTCACGTGTGCAATGTGGAGGTTACAGGAAAATTGATTTATCTTTCTTACTGATCATACAATTTAAGGTCTTGGTTCCCATATTTATCACATTGTGACTACACTGTTTTGCAGATGCAGACAACAAAATCTGTCTGCAGGATCAGCAGATATCTATCTATCTATTTCTATATAAATATATATTTATACATAAAGGATATCATTTATATCAATAATTGCAGTAATGTTTGAAATTGTTTTCATTGATGTAGTTATGGATCTGTTTTATTGCCTGAAGTAGTAGTAGTTGTTGTAGTAGTATATTATCTATCTATCTATCTATCTATCTATCTATCTATCTATCTATCTATCTATCCATTGTATCTCTATCTATTGTATCTATTTATCCATCCATTGTCTATCTATCTATCTATCTATCTATCTATCTATCTATCTATCTATCTATCTATCTATCTATCTATCTATCCTTGTCTGTCTGTTTATCGAATTGTCTATCCATTTATTCATCTATCTATTTATCTATCTGTATATCTATCTGCATGCTGTCAGAATTTAAAGTTCTCTCTCTCTCTCTCCCTCCCTCTCTCTCTATCCGTGGCTATCTTTTTATCTCTCCACCTGTGTTTATCTATTGTTTTTTCTATCTATCTATCTATCTATCTATCTATCTATCTATCTATCTATCTATCTATCTATCTATCTATCTATCTATCTATCTATCTATGGATGGACCTCTGTAGATGTATAGGTATAATGTAGATAGGTAGAGTGACTAGGGTTAATAATAAGAGAAGGGAAGGGGATGTGTATACTGACCAGCTCTTTCTTCCTCCTCTCCTCCTTCACATCTGTCTTCTTGATCTCTGCTTTGAAGGCCTCTGTCTCCCCAATCTGGTCATCCTTGTCCAGCAGGTCCATGAGGTAGGCGATGTAGCTGGTAGCCAGGCGCAGGGTTTTGATCTTGGACAGTTTGGTATCGGCGGGCACATTAGGGATACACTCCCGCAGTTCAGCGAAGGCGCTGTTTATACTCTGAGTCCTGCGCCTCTCTTTGCGGTTAGCAGTCCCTCTTCGCTTCACAGGCCTTTGCATTAAGCCTCCGGCCCCGCTGCCCGGGACACCCCCGTAATGGGAGTGGTCCAGGCCGGCCGCGCCATTGGCGTATTCCGGACTATAGGAAGGTGCCATGCTGTAGTCAGGGGGAGACATCTCGGGGTGGCTGATGAGCCAGCCGTGGAAATAAGGGTTCTCTTCGTGGCAGCGGCTGGCGGCGGCGGCTGCAGCGGCTGCGAACGGGTAACCATCGTGGTGCACCACCGGATGGTGAGGAAAACCTCCAACCAGACTCATGTCTCAGCTGCACCTTCTGCCAAGTCCTTGTCCTGGGATCAGCAGGTCTAGGCTTAGAAATAGAATAGAAGAGGGGGGAATTGATTGTCTATCTCCAGCTTTCCATAGATAGATCACCGATCTTTCTCTTTAACAGGCACAGAGCTCTTTTAGCAGTATGCAAAATCACAATCTACAGGCTGGATGAAGGATTCAAGTATTAAAAGGCATCAGGCATTTCATGGGTGCTGTCAGGGTCCTGCCATAAAACAGCTGCATTAGGTGGAATAAAACGGCTGAGCAGTGATCAGTTACTTACAGCAGGTCTTGTCCACAGTCCCCAATCGGGACAGGCTTTGTGATCTGGTTTCACTGTGAGCTGGCATCCATTTAACACCTTCAATCCATAGACAGACAGTATAGATGTGGCCCCTGAGCTGTGACCCTGGACATGGAGATGATAGCTATATCCCGGTGTCTTCCTTGCACCCCATAGTTCAGCAGGGAAGGCTCAGCACTGGCACTATTTCCAACTACGAACTCCATCTACAGCTACATCTTTAGGGAAGCTTGGGTTAATATATGTCGTCAGAGCCCGTTCTGGCCAATCCGGGCGAAGGGGGGCGTGGCCGTTCGCGTTCAGCCATAAACCTTTTTGATGTTCACCCTGCTAATTGTAGGACTTCTAGTCCCGGATTGGCTGCCTCTGCATAACCATAATATAATTAAAACAAGAAAGAAGTCCTCTATCGACATAGGTTAATGCGAGTGTGTAGCAGATGCTTTACAGTATTACATGATATATACACACACATTTATTTATATTATTTATTTATGTACACAGATCTAAACACCAGTACAATTTCAAATAAACTGGATAAGCCCAATTCAGGTACAGTATCCTTTCTGAGCAACTTTGGTAATTATTTATTATCACGTGAGACTGTATCTAGATATTTTATGAGTCATGTATATTATTATATGTAGATGTTGTTTACATATCATTTAGAATATCTCTCTCTCTTTCTCTCTCTCTTTCTCTCTCTCTCTCTCTCTCTCTCACACTCTCTCTCCCTCCCTCTCTCTATCTACCCCCGCCCCCCAGCTTCAATTTTTTATTCTGATTTGATGCTATCTATTAATATTGTGCTTATTTTATTCTGCTTGTGTTAATACTTGCTAGCCAAAAGCATTGCACATTTCAGGAAGTCTACAGAGTATGAACCTCCACTGCTATATAATTACTGATATATAATGAATGACTCTTTTATGTGTAAAGTACATTGTTAATAATTTGTACTGAAGGTGTCTTGTAACTCTTCTAGTGCATGTCTTATATTATGCTTGTTACGTTTCACAGATACCTTAGTCTGTATATGTGATATAAACTCTGTACAGTTCTTAATGTATTTAAGTATAAATGGCCAGTTATTTATAGCAAAACCATACAGAAAGTGTAAAGCTATTAAATTAATTAGTAGCTGAGTGTCCATTTTGTTATCATAGGATCATCTATTTATATTGGTAAGGATGTGTCATGATAATACAGACAGTGGCTGAGGCTGTCCCAGAATTTGGTTTTGAAGTTGTAGCTGCTCTAGATAGGTGTGATTATTACTGGTAAATGTCTTATATAGCGACTTCATAATCACCTTCTACTGTCTGGAAGACAATGTAACCACTGTAATGATCGATATAGAGCTACTGAGGATTGTACAGATGTAATCGTGAATCACTGTAAACTGTAAATATTGACATACTTGAATGCACTGTTTATTAATGATACACACAT